ACCCGCCGGGCCCGCCCTCAGTCCCCCAGCCGCCCTCAGCTGCAGCGAGCCCTGGGCCAGCCGTGCAGCACCAAGCCAGACCGCCAGGTCCCTGCGCCTGACTCCACCGCGTGTCTTTGCTGTAAGGTGACTGCGGCTGATCGCATAGAGCTGCCAGAGGCTTACCCAGGTATTCGAATGTTCCCGGCCCAGAGCCCGGGATCCTGCCCAGAGCACCACGGTCGGCCTACTGGCGAGTTCCAGTCCGCAAAGTGGATTCAAACACTCCGGGATCCCCCTCACATCTGTCCCAAAAGACTTATCTCTACCTTTACCCTGTGTCTGTCACACACTCTGTCTCACACACACACACACACACACACACACACACACACACGATCCAGTACTACTTTTAATGCGCCGTGAATGCTTTTCATTCAATAAACGCTGACTGAGCGCCTGTCGGACTCCGAGCACAACCTCAGGTGCCGGGAGAACATCAGTGAACACGCAGCCCCACCTGTAGAGGCAGTTGTCAGCAGTTGTTAGGATGGCCTGGGGCAGCAGGGATAGCGGGATACTGCAGCTGGGTTCCCACATGGCCCACCAGGGTGGGAGTTCCCGACCCAGTGACTTGAACATCACGCCTGGCGTGCATGTGCTGTGTGCCGTGCCTACCCAAAATCCTGAGAGGAGAATGGAGAAAGGACTAGGGGTAGTCATCCCCTCTGGGGTGATTTCTCACTTTCCCTCTCTCTATTTCTCAAGTCTTTGGGGGGGGGGGAAATAAATAAATAAATAAATAAATAAATAAATAAATAAATAAATAAATAAATAAATAAATAAATAAATAAATAAATAAATAAATAAATAAATAAATAAATAAATAAATAAATAAATAAATAAATAAATAAATAAATAAATAAATAAAACCTGGCTCAAACACTAAAATGCTATGTAATCTTTTTTTCTTTTTTGAGAGATTGTCATTATAGGGCGCGTGCGCTCGCCAGACAGACAGAGAGAGACATTAGAGACAGAAAGCGAGAAATCACCCCCGGGGGGGATGGTCATGCCGCGATCCCTTCTCCTCCATTCTCCTCTCAGGATCTTGGGCACACACGCACATGGCGTGAGTTTCAAGCCACCAGGTCCGGGACGCGAACTGAGGTCGACTACATGGGAGTCCAGCGACATAGCCATTATTACGCTAATTGCTGGTTCCCTAAAATGCTATGTAATCTTGGGCAAACCAATTAATCAAGCTTTGCCTCAGTTCTCCTGTCTGTGAAACGGGGATGGCTATGGACCAAACTCAACGAGAACTGTATGAACTAACACGTAAAATGTTCAGTACAAAGCCTGGCACCTCTACACCTGGCTGGTGACTGTCACTCTGTGACACTTCTACATGAGTCTTTCTCTTTTCTCCAAAGATAATCTTTATAACCTGCATATCCAATCAGGCCAGAAGATGAATCTAGACAGTACTGTCATTCTCTTTCAATGTATTAAATGTAAAATATTTGCTCCTGTCTATACAGAGAAAGCTGTTTTTGCAAAAAGTAAGGGTAAATCAAAATCACAAGACAAAAACAACAGGAGCAGTGGGGCCACGCCCTCAGTCACGCAGCCCTCCAATTCTGACCAGGGGACGCACAGCTTCTGGGATCCTAATCAGACATTGATTATGAAAAATAATGAGGGAAATATTTTTCCCTAATTCCAAATACCTTCCCTTAGATAACACATTTTGTTTAAATATAAGTTAGACATGCCTCTGAATGATGAAAATTAAAGTTTTATGGTCCTTTGTACTTCAAGTCAATGGCTGGAAACAAGGAATACTTGTTTCTATTCTTCTTTTAATTGCCAGTGGGCATATGTACTTGCCAGCTAGACAGAAAGAAAAGGAGAGGAGAAAGCTGCCAACGGGGTGAGGTCATGCCATCACGTCTCCTGTATTTCCTCATCAAGATTCTAGGTAGCAGGTGTTTTCCAAGACACCAGGGCTGGGATTCAAACTGCAGTCAGTCATGTAGGATCCACTCCCTTAAACATAGCCTATGGGGCCAGCCTGAAACAAGGAATTCTTAGCCTATTAAAATGTAACTGATGTTTGGGATCAGCAGGTATGATGGTTATGTCACTGGACTCCCACGTAGTCAACTGCCGTTGGAGGCCTGGACCCTGTACTTAAAACCTACACCAGGCATGTGTGTGTGCCAAAAATCCTGAGGCACGAATGGAGAAGGGACTGCGGTGTGGTCTCGTCCCCCGGGGGATGATTTTTTGCTTGTCTCCCTGGCAAGTGTACATGCCCTATAGCAAAAATATCTAAAGTATATAACTATATTTACATATGTATATCTGATGTGAAGGACTTTCATCTCTCTACCTCTCTTCTGCTTTAAGAATTTCTAAGCTGTCTCAAAACAAAACTATTTTTTTTTTTGAGAGGTTTTTGCTATAGGGTGGGTGCACTCCCCGGAAAGACGGACAGAGACAGAGAGACAGAAAGCGAGAAATCACCCCCAGGGTGGATGGCCACTCCACAATCTCTTCTCCTCCTGGGATCTTGGGCACACACATACACGCTCCCAGCATAAGTTTTAAGCCACCAAGTCCGGGACTCGAACCGCGGTTGACTACATGGGAGTCCAGCGACATGGCCATTACGCCAGCTGTTGGTCCCCAGAACTAACCATTTCTAATACACTGTCTCATCTAAAGCTTGAACTATAGCTTTCCAATGCACTTGCCTACAGGGTGAAGTCCAAATTTCTGTACAGGTCTCAGTAAAGCTCTCCGTTTCCAGCCACAGCCTGACATCTTGCCGTCTCCCAGAGCAGCTCCCATCCCTATCTGCTGGACAGCTGCTCCATGCAACATCCGAGCTGTTCATCTTGTCCAGGTGGGCTCTTCCACTCTGCTCTGCCAGAACCAGCCCCTTCTCCTCTGTCCATGTTTAAGCTACCACCCCTATGAAGCAATTTCCGAGCAAGCAATAGTTTTGGCCAATAGAGTTGGCTGCTACCTCCTCTGCCAACGTCTCTGCCCTGGCCTATGGACTTCGGGTGGATGTGAACCCCGAATGGGAGCTGTGGTGGATTGAGAAAGAACAGACAGAGAAGTGGGGATCGGGCAAACCAGCCACCTCTGATGGAGATGGGCCAGGCCTGAGCGGTTCTGTCGTTACTTCCTTTATCGGGGAGGGAAAGTCGGGCATCATCTATCACTGACTGAAGCTGTGAAGTATCTCGCTCTTCGTGGTTCTAAACAAGCCTCTCCTGGCTTTCTCCAGCAGTCACTCAGCATTCTTGAGATTTTTTTTTTTTTTTTTGGAGAGATTTTCACTGTAGAGCGCGCTCGCCAGACAGACAGAGAGAGACAGAGACAGAAAGCGAGAAATCACCCCCCAGGGGGGATGGTCACGCCGCAATCCCTTCTCCTCCATTCTCCTCTCGGGATCTTGGGCACGCACGCAGACGCGCCCGGCGTGAGTTTTAAGCGACCGGGTCCGGGACACGAACCGCGGTCGACTACATGGGAGTCCAGACACTCAGCATTCTTTAACCTGCACATAGTTCTCTCTCATTTCTAACTTTGCCCATAATTATTTATTTCTGCTTTCTTTTTTCAATATGCACTACCTTGCAGCAACAGTACACTTCTTCTTTAGCCCAAGGGGCACATCTACTTTACAGGTTCCTGCCTAGATCTGGCCGCTCCCTGCATTCCTCCATGCCCACTGTGTTCTGTACAGGTTTCCAACGTAAGTCCTGTGACATTGCCTTCACTGTCACATGCCTGCCTCCTTAGCCTGAGAGCTCCCTGAGGGAAGAGACCACGTGGAAATGAGCACATCGGGTACTTCGGCACTACCTACCCCCTTCACATTCCTGCCCACGTTAATGAACTACCAGGAGGACTGATGTACCGGTCCTTGCACCTTACACAAGGCTTGGTCCTAAACCCAACAGAGCTTTAAAACGTTTCTGATGAACGGCTCGATGAATAAAGGATAAATGAATGCTCAGGTACAACCAGCCCCAGCAGCCATGATACAATTCTGCTTTACCCGTAGGCAATCCACTTGAGATCCCACTGAGGCCCATGTTCATTCAGGAAGGTTTTTCAGGAGAGGAAAATGTTTCTAGCACAACTATCACCTCTGGAGTTTGTTTTCTTTTGTTTTCAAATGAGAAAAAGCTGGCAAAGGTGTCCCCACTGACACCGTGATCTCAGGACAGGAACTGGCTAAAGGGTCTTTCCTGCCGCCAGATGCACAAGGCTCAGCTCCGCAGTCACAACCAGCAGTTTTGAGAATTAAAGGGGAAACATTTACTGTATTTACAGCCAACCTGGGTTTCTTCCCCAGACACTGCAGTACCATACAAATTAGAACTGACATAAAGAAAAGTTTGGTAGGCTTTCAGAACTGGGGCTGTGCTCCATCTTCTACTTGAAATCCGTGCCGCAATATAGTTAAGGGCAGGAAAACACATTACTTCTCTGCCATCATGGTATTAGTGCCATTTTGTCCCTTACTTTATATGAAAAAAACTTGTGGCTTTCCCCACAGAAGCGCACAAGTGATAAAATATTTTCCCTCCTTGAATGCCTGGGAGCCAGCATGACTGCTGGTAAATAAGGTAAGAATCAAGAAATACCTGAGGGTGTGTTCTTTTCAAAGTTCTAATTGTCTAAGCAGTAAGAGACTTACCTCTCGGGGCCAGCAGATGGGGTAGCAGTTATGTCGCTGGACTCCCACATGGCCACTCACAGTTCAAGCCCTGAACTCAGTGGCATGAAAATCACACCAGGCGCTTGTGTGTGCCCAAGATCCAAGGGGGTAAAATGGA